TCAGGTACAGTTTCGCATTGGTTAATTTGCAGTCGTTGAATCGACTTATATTCTATGACATATCGTTTTTTCGATATGTTTACATGGCGAAAATGACATAGTGCGGCTTCTCGTAGCCATCTTGATGGCCCACGAATGCTTGGCTTTACAAGAACGGAAACTCATTACAGATCCCACAAGCACAAAGCCATGCTCAGATATTGACCGAAACGCGCAGCATCGATAGTTTATTTATCTTGCTCAATAACACATGCATTCGCACATGCACTGTACTTTGAATAATTCGAGCGTTGGCTCTGTCGCCGGATCTCCCGTCAGACAATTGTTGTGCGCTCATATTAAAATCAACTCGTAATGAGCGTTGATCATCACGCGTTTATAATCTTCGTGTTTAAAATCCCAGCAATACGTAGAGCAATACGCAGAAATTAAAGTATCCGGCCGCAGTAGTCCGCGCATCCCAGCCGGCATTCCGCAGAATCATGCTTCTGTGGAATGACACTGTTACATAATTTCTGAACGTGCTAGTTATGTCCACGTTTCTATTACGATCAATCTCCACATCATTGAGTTCATATCGAATCTCATCGAATATGAACGCGACGCCATTATTTCCCAATGTCACGTGAGCACCACTTTGTTCTTCGTTAGTTTTCCCTCGACGTATAGAAAGTTTTCGTATGGCAGTGTGTACAGATCCTATTGCTATATGGGTATTCTTATCTCGTCACTGTATCCGAACGTTGTGTTGGCGAACGGGTGAGTATTAATGTACGTGTGAGTATTAATCTTGAAGATGCGATCGTCGAAGATAAGCTCGTCTTTAATGTTTAGGATATCAGTCATCTTAAATATTGCGCATCGCGAATCCCAAAGACTTTAAAAATTTAACGTTCGACGCGCTGAGTTTCTTCTTCTTCCTGATGCAGTTAGATGAGCGAGTGTTATCGAGCTGTGACATCACTGGCCTTGTAAAAAATGCGTTATCTCTCTGCGTGCGCTCCGTTCCGTTCAGCACGAGCATCTCACGGTCACGTTATCACTGTCGCCATCGTACAATCTAACGGTGATCTCTTCTCCTCGAAAATCGAGCAATCGTCCATTCTGATTGACAATGCATATCGTTAGATCCGTAATGCTTCGTGTGATGATTGGCAGGCCAAAAATGATCTGCGCCGGCCTCTCCGATATCTTATATTTTGGCGGCACGCTCGGCGAAAATTCGTATATCGTGTGTGCGCTTTAGTTGTTGCTGTATGCGCCTGTGGTCACGTTAAATTCTACGCGGATAACGTTTACGTTCATTATGTTGATCGACACGTTCGATTCATGCCATCTTCGCGGCCGCAGTATACACTTCGACGAGAATTCCAGCAGCAATTTAATTCTGTTGGGCTTGCCAAAGTTTATTCCGTATACACATCTAATCTCGTATCTCATCGTGTTATAGTTTGCGCGGAGCGTAATCGGGTATTCTCCACCCTCGCCATCATTGTCATAGGTGTCATTGTTGTTATTGTCACCACGCACTATGTCAACTGTTTCAAGCGCGTCGCGCGCGGACGTTTTTGTAAAATCGTGCGTTTCAAAAATTCATTTATGTCTCGCCCTTCGTACGAATCCTCGAGAATTGTAATTTCCGAGTCGTCTTTGGCGAAATAAAATTTATTGTTCGATTCATTCGTATTCGGTACCGTGTGATAAGTCTCAAAAATTGCCAGATCGAGGTCGTAATCTCCATCACTCAAATCTATAGCAGAAAAATAGTTCGCGAGGACGGTGCTCTTCCTGCTCAGCGTAAGCATCAACGATAAAGCGTTCGATTAATACTAAGATTTCACAGCACCTCGTCGAGCTTTTTAAATTCACGCGCGTCTACCATTTGTAGAAACCGTAGACATATCTATCCGCAGAAGCTCTGATTGTATGTCTGATAGGATGTGCGATTGTACTCTATCGTTGTAGCATCGTTCCCGAAATATCGCACCAGTTCCTTGGGCGGTCGAAGATTATTGAAACTGTTAAAATACATACACGCCGCGGTTGTTCCTCTTCGCGTATGCTATCCAGTGAGTACCAGGCCCCGTCGCATCGTTCAGATTACGATACGTTTCGGCGCGTGCCGCTCGTCGGTAACGTGTTACGCATGAAAACGCCTCTAAAGTATGGTACGCGCATACGTCTCGCAGACTCGTTCAATTGCACATTGATAGTTGCGCCAGACGGCATTTTTATCGTCTGTTTGGCGTTTTTTTTTCTTTGCAGCTATGTCCTGTCCACGTTGTACGGGCCGAGATACAGTCCGCGTCCGTATTTGTACGGAACAAAATACAGTTCGCGGCTCTGTTCCATCGCGCGATTTTGCTGTCGTTTACAGTTTTCGCTGATCGCTCCGCTGATCAAGGACTTGAGCTCGCCCAATATTGGCAGAAATGATAACGCCTCGTTTTGTCGTCGGAAATATCTGCCTTTTCGTCGCCTTTTTCGTCGTTGTTTTCTTCTTCGATTTCATGCCCATACCGATCTAGATCATGGCTTTCATCGCTGCCCAGCAACGGAGGCTCTCTCGCTCAGAGCCGAATCTCTCGCGACGACGTGTCCTGGCGCTTTATCGGCGAGTACCTGTGCGCTGCATGTCTATCGGTGAGATCGTTGCTCCGAGAATACGCAATGTCGTGTTCTCGGCACGCCGTATCCAGCGGATTTATGCCTGCGTCACCTCTGATTAATTGCTTCGTAAGCCGAGTGCTCGGGCTGCAAAACTGATAGCCCGGAATGTAACTAGACTGTTTGTCGCTCGATTCAGCAAATCACCACGCCGACATTCGCTACAGTCTTTTATCTTTGGTGCAGGACCGTCAATATGCGTCCGCTGTCACGGCTGATTGTAGTGCTCGTCGCAACGACGATAAGTTCGAACCTCCGAATCTGTCTTCACGTGTTCCGGAAGTTTGTTCCAGACGTCGATATAATCGCCGTAACACACGTAAGAGTACGACCATTGGTATATATATCAACTGCTCATCGCTCAAGTCTCGAATATCGAAAGGATGACACAGCGCGAGATACATTTTGCTATTGCGCGACTCGCAGGTTCGCGCGCCTTTGAATAATCGTTCGAGAGAACGTAGCCTTTAGTGCGAGCATGAAATTCGTAACCGTTGACGAAACGCGTCACAAACTGTAACGCGAAATCGAATGAATGATGGGAGGCAGCGCGGAGAAGCACAAGCGAAATGCTACCAAGTATTATATGCGCGATCATTTGTGGCCAGTCAAATTACGTAAAACCAACGTAATTATAAGCTCGAGAGTCCGAACGGCATATGTTTCAAGAACGTGTACGTCTACTCAAAATCGCTGTAACAGTCAAAATATCGATATCTCGAAAATTTATTTGCGTCTATCGACAAAATTGACTACTTTACGTTCTCTAACAACAGCGTCGTTCCATCGAGCAAGGCGCGCCCAAATTCTATTTTTATCTCTAATGACGTGACGTGCGACAAGCAGGATGCGAGAGAATATTTCTCGATGGGCCGCGAACGTTGACTGCTTCTATCTCTGTCAGACATACGCGAGGATATCTAAACATCTGATATGCGACAACGCGAATCTGCTGATCCTGTTCAAACGGAATTGTACTAACTTGAAACAACGATCACGTGAATATCGATATGTCATACGAATTTTGTTTATTGTGTCGTGACTGTTGGAAAAAAAATATGGATTTCTAGTGATAGACAAGTGCGCTTAAAGACGGGAGATACAGAAAGGGATTTAACGAGTTTGCGATACCGTAACGTGGATGATGTCGTTGTCGATACTTCGCCAGAGACGAACGTAGCTGATGTGCGCGAGCGTGAAAAAATCGCGAGGGAGATCGAGAAGATGAGTAAGTCGATCCGCAAGAAACATCGTGCTCTAAAGATCGGTAGAATCGAGGAGGACATGTCATTAGACAAGCATTTTAAGCCTATTATTAAACCGCTGCGACAGATCGTTGATAGTCCCGGCGTGCGTGCGATAAGAGACAGTCGCACGATGATGTTTACCTCTAAGCGCGAGAGGAAAGAAGAGGAGCAGGTCCTGAGGGGAGCGCGAGATAAACAGAAGAGCGATATAGATTATGTATACGACATTTACCTACACAAGGATGGATTGATGTTTGGCAATAAATGTTTCGACGTGGCTGCGATGGCGTACGATACGCCGGTATACTCGATATTTACGATTTAATTTTCAACAGAATTTCCGACGATTTCCTGTACACGGAAGATGATATGAACAAGTATAACATGGTGACGAATGCGCACAAACACCATTCAAGCATCATTCGCAGGGCCGATTATTAAGCAACAAGGGATACGATACAAATACGTAATCGCGTCATTGATCACACCCAAGAAACAAAAGAAGAAATCTGGAAAGGGATTACCTTACGCAATGACATTGAACGATAACGCGATCAATTACGTGCACTGGAACGATCCCGACGAGCTGGTGGATCGTCTACAATTGCTCAACGCTTCACACCGAGCGGGCAACAATGCTCACGACAACGATGCTATCGATCATCGAGGAATTTCGCGAAGCCAGTGTTATTATAAATTAAACCGCGTGTCGACGAAATGAGTCAGTCGAGTGGCGTCAGTGAGAAAAAATACTTTTGCTCTGTGTATTACGCGTCGAATCATGAAAAAGAGATCCAGAAAAGAGAAAAATTAGCTCTGAGATACGTTAACTCGTCGAGGAATTGTACACTCCGGCGAGAAGAAATTTTCCACGAAGGCGCATCATATTTCGAGGATACGATGATCTGTGACAGGCTGATATCATTGAGATGCGCCCATACTTGAGTTTCAATAGAGGCTACCATTACATATTCACCGATGTGTTGAACAAGTACGCGTGAGCCGCTCAAGAGCAAGGGTGGAAGCTGATGCTATCGCTGAGATAATTCGAGCGAGTGGAAGATTCCAAAAAATTTACAAACGGATATGAGGAAGGAGTTTTACCACGTCGATGTGCAGAAATTCTTGAAAAAACATGATGTTAATCAATATTCCACGTATTCGACGTCGAAAGCGTCAGTGGTCGAGCGGTTCTCGCACGCTCAAAAACGATATGTGGAAGATATTTACTCAACGGCAATTACAAGTGGATCGAGCTGTCGCGTATCAGATTATAACGCGCGCAAGCATCGCACTATTGGCATGCAACCCGTCGACGTAACTCCCGCGATCGCCGAAAGATTCTTGGACACGGTGTACAGCATGATAAAAATCGTTGGTCCGGCAAAATTCAAAATAGGTGACTCGGTACGCGTAAGCAAGTACAAGATGGTTTTCGGGAAGAGTTATACGCCAAATTAGACCACCGAGGTGTTTACAATCATTAAGGTATAACCAATCCCATAACCTATCTCCTAGGACTATCATAGGACTCTCATAGGACTATCAAAATCCGTCGTTGGAGTACGAACACGAATCGCTCTACTCATCCGGACGTGTATCTTGCGGAGAAAGTATTGCGCAGGAAGAGAGAGGAAGGTGTATGTCAAGTGGTTAGAATCCGATGCATCAATTCATGGATACGCAAAAACAACACCATATGATAAAATTTTGATTCGTGTATTTTATTTCTACATATAAAAAAATATATATCGATATAAGTATATTTTTATTACTCTCCATTCATCATCTTCGGAGTATACAAAATACATAATTATTTGTAACAACTTATGTATGGAACGGAATACATATATAGGTAATAATACATAATAGTAATACTTATATAAATGTAAAAAATATACGTAAAGTGTAAATTAAAATACTAGTAGTATATAATACATATATAAATATTAGAAACATACGATATGTATTATATGAAAGTACAATAATCGTAATGCATAAAACATACTAATAATACTTGTATAAATGTAAAAAAAGTGTAAATTTCAATAGTAATACATAATAGCAACATATATAGTACATAATAGCAATTATATATAGTACATATAATACATATAATGCATATATTACAAAGATATCCGTCCATGTCCTGACGGTAACGTCTCCGTCGAATGATACGACGTATCATTTGCCGAGAGAGATTTTCGATTCGGATATCGTATATACCTCGTGTAATATAGATCGTATACACGATTGACGGCGAGTCATTTCGATCTCTTCGTTCAAACACTGCGTGTAATAATCGAACGTTATCGTTCGTGTTATGACGTTATTCTTTACGCTTTTCGCCTTTTTAGTGTCCTTCTTACCATCTACCCTCACCGCGTACATCTTCACTCTGAGTCCAACGAATTCGGTCATTATCGCACGTTATTCTCCTCCTTCATCGCCGGATATTTTTTATTCGCGAGAGGCATATCGTACACGTTATCCGCTGGATAATCATTTGTGTTGAATCTAGCGATATCGTGTCATAGTCTCGTAAGTATCGTCGCATTTTATATGGTAAATAAGACTGTCCATATCGGTGTACATGATCTTGCGATACATCGGTAATGTATACGTGATGAAATTCGTATAAACAGACTTTCGATATGTCCAATGTGCACATACCCACGTAAATCGGCTTGTTGAATTTCATCTCGAGTTTGCGCATTTTGACGGTGATTAAATTTTCCGCAAAGACACTGCGGCTATGGAAATTCGGTTTCGCGATTATTGCCTCCGCGCCGTATCGTCCGTGTCATGTTATTATTAATTTTACATCGACATGATTGCGCACATTCTCCATGGTCTTGCTGGATATCGCGTTGTTCATTGCTTTATACAAATTTTTTTTGAAATCGTTTTTCGCGCACATACTAAATTGTGTATTAAGTTCAATATAATCGCGGAGCCATAGAGATTGAGTGAATTGTAACAGCGGTTCTTTGTTGCGCAAAGACCGTGACGAGTACATTGCTGCAGGTTGCGGTAGTAGATGACATATCCAGACAGCATAGTAACGTTTTAAAAATATATTTAAAATGTACATGTTGGACGTTTTGGACATTGAAAACATCCAGATTAGATCCATGGAAATTTTAAAACCGTTTTAAAGACATCTAGTGTTACCATTTTGGATTTTTTAAAAACATCCATTTTAAGTCCTAATGAACTAAAACTGGATTAAATTAATATATTAAACAAATTTTAGACCAAGGCAAAATGATTTTTATATGAGTATTATTATTGATTAATATTTTATTTCAAAATACACGTAATAAAATTATTATAAAAAAAAGTTCTTCCCTAAATTTTGAAATTAATTTTATAGTGCTTCGAAACGGTCATCCATCCGGTTGCATACCGCCATCCATTATCCTTGATTTCTGAAATCATATAAAAACTACTGTACTTCAATGATCCACGAATACCTATATAATCATGGATATATAGTTATGATATATCTTTTCAATATATTGTAGTCTTGATAGAAATTTGTGCATTTCTGAACATCCAATCAGTTACTGTCTAATATTTAATCTTAATGTTACAACGACTATTTTCAGATTAGGAAATCATACGCTGTACTTTCACAGTACCAGTTATCATGTATATCGTCTTCGACTAAAGATTTCCTCAGTTTCTCTCCTGTCTCCTGTAATAGTATGCCATATTGATACGGGTTATGTATAATGTACTTAAACAGTATACAGTATAGATTTTTTTATCGTTGAAAATTTTCAACAGCACAGATATCCTAAAGACGTCCATGAGACGTTCAAAAGATGTCCATACTAACAAAAATGAAACTCCTCGGTCTTAAAAAAATTTTCACTTGTCAAGTCAGTGAAAACAACACGTCGCGAGCAGATTTAGAACATTTTTTGCATAAGATGAGCATTTTTTAAATGTTCAAATGTGAACATATTTTGTACGTTGAATAACATATGTTTTTAAAACATTCGTTCTAAGTCCATGAACGTTCGAACTAAATAAAAACCAGATTTGGCCGTCCAATGGATATTGTGTGCTGTCTGGCTTACGCTGCTTATTGTCGCTAGAAGTTTATCTTCGCGCTTACCGGTGGCTTATTGCGCATTAGGCAGAAAGATAGATCAGTGTCTCGATGTAGATGCTGCGGATACTTAAAATCCATCTCAAGAATATAATCGATGAATGAATCGTGCTCACGTCAAAGTTCGCAGTGTCTTCAACCTATCGAAATTCGGCGTATAGCAAAGGTTGACAGATCGTACCATCCGTACAGATTATTCACATCGTAGTACATAAGGTACGACGACGGTTTCGATGAGTCGTACGAACTCATGTATTTATTGTTAGTCTGCGCGTATTTGTCTGAACATTGACTGAGGCCGTCGCGTATACTGCATTCGATGAACATGACCATATCAATGTCGGTGAGCAACTCAAATTTTATGCGCGTATATTTCAGCATGGCGTCCCACGTGAAATCTGGCGATGTAATAATGCGCGGGATCGGAACAATAACTCGCGACGCAACTATTGCAAAAATTTTCGAAAATGTCGGTTAATAATAAAACATCGATTTTCAAGTATAGATCACTGTATGTACTCGTCGAGCATGCGAATGGAGAATCGCTGCTATATGTTCACGTGAGCATAATCGCTCTCGGATACGGTATCGCTTTTCAATGAATTATAAAATGATTTGCGCGATGGTAAGCGCGTGTCCTGCAATTTTTCGACGCAGTCAATGTACTCGTACGGAAACATCTTTTCGTGCGGGAAGATTAAAATCCTCTGCGCGGAGCTTGCAAAATTCGGAACGTACAATTTTTAATTTATCTTCGTCGAGATACAACGTCATTTTATTGAGCATTTAGAAATTTGAAAGAATCAATGAACCTTCATTTTACACAATTTTTCTGAAAATTTTTTTCATTTTTGTCTTTGGTGCTATCGACATGTTTAGTGAATAAAATATATTTTTTATTGGTTATCGGTAGTACATCTACATGTCCATCATTCGTGAGCAATTTCTTTAATTATAAAATGCGTGTCGTAGTAGATAAATTGTGAAAAACGATCAGAATGTAAAACGAATTTTAAAAATTTTTAAGTTACAATTCGAATGTGCTGGATCTACTGGTGAGATGATAATGATCGTGGACCCGCATATCGTCCGGCGCGTACGGTTTCTCGCAGATGTGATGAGTCGTACTACGTTTCCCATTGCTGTTTAGACAACATTTCCATGGGCACGATGGCGAATACGAGATTTTTCACGCGATGCGTCAAATCGCCTCGTTGAATTGTCGCGCGAACCACGCTATACAGTCTTCATCGCGACGAAAATGATATGACGATAATGTGTCGTCGTACGCGCATCGCAATAGCCTATACTATATACCTCGTGTTGTTGATACGCATATGACGACGCGTCTTCCCTGTTGGGCTCCGTCTTGTATAACATACTCCAGATCGACGTAGACGAACGGCATTTGTTCCCGGTTGTTATAGTTATCGAATTCGAGCCACCTGTCGTCCTCGTTCGACAGTCGGATGGCGCAGTCTTTGATCTTCTGACCACTTCGTGCGACTGCAATTTTTCGTACTAGCTGAAGTAATGAAGGCACCTGTAAATAGAAAAATCTTTTTTTTTGCTATTTCTTTTTATTAGCTTTTCTTATTATACTTATCGGTCGCAGAAATATTTCTTATTCTTTTTCCTACTAATCTGCGAGCTCACGAGACAGATTCTTGATCCACGCAAAATGGTCGACACCGTTGTTGAGTGGATTTGCAGATACAACACGTTGACGTGCTTCTCCTTCTTGTCATCGGTGAACCGTAGAGGAAGGATCTGCTCATCTTTGATATTGTACGTTGATCGATATATTGTTGAAATTTTCGAATTTCGAAATGTCTTTGAACGTTATCGGAAATTCAATATCCGCGAGATTCAACATTGTCGTATAATGCGGATACAATTTTCTATCCACATGACCTTTTGCCGGGTATAGAACGGCTATCACCGATCATCACCGCTATCACCGCTTTCTTAAGTATAATTTCTCGTGACACTTCGAAGTAATATCCCGCGCGTATTGGGTTGTGCTTATTCACATTAACCGTCAAATTCGAGAATTCGCGACAATGCCCACCCGCTGTCAACTTCCTGTAACTTTTCGAGCAATGTTAGGATAGACTCGGCATGTCACTCGTACTACTCGCGCATATCGGTGCATCGATATGTCTTGCTGTTGTTCTTTGTAATGCTCTTATTAGCACGTTTATTCTTCGTCGCGAACTCGCCATTGAACACGGTATTCACTTTTACACTATCGTGTCTTTCTACAATGTCTCGCACTCGCTCTAGAACAACATTGCCGCAGCGTTTTCTAAAAACCGCCGCGACTTGATATAATTAGAGT